TATTATTAAGAAATAATATATCAAGATTCACACTTTTATAGATTACGAGATGTTGGCGTTCATACAGACGGACAGGCAGACAGACATGGCTTCATCGACTCAGATCATCATCTAAATCAAGAATATATATACTTTATGGGTGCTGCAGGTTTTCCTGCATACATTCTATTCTTATTTCCCATTTTAAATGGGTTCAGGGCTTCAACAGATTTTCTTTTACATAAAATCTTTATCAAATGCCTCCACATTTCTCTTGACATTACGAGCGTTATTTAAATGAAAAATACTAAAATTATAATAGACATCTTATTTATTTAACCCAACCAATTGAGGAATGCAGAGGACTCCTTAGCCAATAAGAGAGAGTATCTTTAAAACTTGCTTGGCGTGGCAAAGGACAATGACACAAAAGTTTTCGCTTGCATTTCGAAATAACCACAACAAAGCGAGCCACAGAGACGGCCACAGACAACCCGCAGCCAATCGTAGATACGCGACTACGACGACTCCAACTCTTCCCCCCTTTGGCCGTATAATGTGACCGCCCGCGCGGAACCAATTTGGGTGACTCATTCGTTGAGCGCGTCAGCTGGGCTTTCAGAAATATTATGGGCACAATGAATTACATGTATGCACACACATACACATGCATACACACATACATGAATATATATATTTGATTAAGACAAAAGCCTTTTATGCTGTGCTGCTTGCTTAGCATTCACAGTGTGCTTAGCGTCTTTGGGCGTGGCATGGCGTGGAAAATCTGCTGTTGCAAATCTAGTTCAATGTCAGGTCAATCATTCAAATGATTGCAACATCTGCCACATCGTGCAACGCACCGAGTCACGGCGGCAATGGGCATCTCAAGGGAAACCAAATGCTATGGCTGACTAAGGTTGACGCAGTTTCCTTCGGCAAGTGTCGTTTATCTTGAGTTACCCCCCGAGCAAAATGTCAAGGCTCTATTGATATATATCAATGTACAAGTTGAGACTACACATAATTAATTTATCTTATTGCAAACAAATGACAGGAAAAACTATCGCGCCTTGAGCAGAAATATTAGAATTCCTTTGAGTAAACATTAAATCCCTCTACACGAGAAACAGACGATAGATGAAAGAAATATATTTTATTTTTTAAAAAAATCGGAAAATATTTCTTCAATGTACAAATGTATGTTAATAATTTCTATTATTCCAAAAATATTTTAAATTCTGTTTAATTAAACCAACACAAGGCGTCCCTGAAAAACTGCACAACTGAATAGCAATTCTCAAATTTAATTCAAATTCTTTGTACATAAAATTTTATATACTTATATATATTTTTAAAATGTAAAAATGTATAGGTATATAAAAATACAAATTCTTTATAAATCTTCATATATTTCTTCATAAAAACTTGTTTCTTAAACTGTCATAAATTTAAATACATATGAATCTCTTATTGTTTAGTTTTAAGACAGATAAAAAAGATAAAAAACAAGTAAGAAAGCTCCAGTCGAGACTGCTCGACTAGGAGATACCCTGAACCCTCCAAGCTGATATTCTAATCATTCTGCACTTCTTTTATGCACACATACATACACATGCATCCACACGCACGCATAAGCCTGCGCTCTGCTAACTGCGCAGTAAGCAGCGACTGCGCTTGGGCTGCGCTGCAGTGTGGGCAATATTATGAGAATTTATTTGTTAAATAATTTCTTTTGTAGACATACGATCTTAATGAAACTTTTAGAGCGTAATNACGGACAGACGGACAGACGGACAGACAGACGGACAGGGCCAAATCAACTCAGCTCGTCGCCCTGATCAAGAATATATATACTTTGTGGGGTCTGCCACGCCTCCTTCTGCCTGTTACATACATTTCAACAAAACCATTATACCCTGATTTCCCATTGAAAATGGGTTCAGGGTATAAAAAGTGAACTTAAAAATAAAAACATACATATATATAAAAATTCCTATGCATGTACCTATGTATATTTAATTATAAATAAATTTCTTGATTCGGTATCAGTTTACAGTCATATCAGTACCCACACACACATGCACACATAGAACTATATAAAATCCAAAACATCGATAATTGTACCGTTAAGCACTACTGTTAAGGAAAAAGAGTATAAACCGCCGATAACAATTAAGCCCAGGGCTGTAACAGCCAACTTTCTGCAAATTGCTGTTGCTCTGCGTGTGTGTGTGTGGAGGGCGAGGGGCGTAATGTGGGCTGCTGAAGTGGGTAGTGGGAAGGCAATGGACTAAATCGAATCGAACCTCAAACTCAAACTGCAAAGAGAAACCAGTTTTGTGCCTCTTTGTCGCTGATGTGTTGGTTGCCTGCTTGCTTGCTTGGTTGGTTGGTCGGTCGGCTGCGGCCTGCCTGGTTTATGGCTTAATATCCTGCAGCGAAAACTGGTTCAAACCAATCCATCGATCGATCGTCGCAACGAACTTCGCAGCAAGCTCCACAACAGTTGAGTATTCACAGTATTTTCGGGTCGTTCGCTTCACTTCACTTTACTTCTTATTTATTTTTTAGCTCTTCACAAACGAGTTCGAGTGCGAGTTCTTGCCCTCTCTCTCTCTCTCTCTCTCTCTCTCTCTCTCTCTCTCTCTCTCTCTCTGTCTCTCTTTGCCTCACTTTGTTTGCATTTCTTTCTCTGTAGCTTTGTTCTTAATTTGCCCAGCGTTCGTTTTATGAATTAAATGCTAGGAAAAGGCTCCCAGTTGGATTCGGGACAATGGCACAGCCCGCCCGACTACCGTTAACCGGTTTCGGCTGCTAAACGAAGGAAACAACAAAACAAACCCCTCCCACTCACACTCGCACACTCAGAGCCAACTAACTGTTTATCTAAGTTATAATATTTTTTATAAATTCACATAAATTTAGCATTCAATTAAAAGAAATTAATTACAAATGTTAGATCTCTATTGAACAAGACGATCAATAAATTAATTTTTTTTTTTTAAGAACATATTTGATTTTTTAATTATCGGATATTCATTTTATATCAAATAAACAATATTTTAAAACAAACTCTCTGTTTTATTATATATTTGAATATATATTTTAGTCAAGCACATTATACTCCTGCCAATATATAATACGAAATATATGTATGTAGCTCTCCAAGTCGTTTCGGAAATAAATAAAACTTCCGTTCAGTAACATTAAGAAATTAGTGAACTTCCGTTTAATAAAACAAGGAAAACCCCCAAATATATTTGCAACAAGTGAGAGCATTGCAGTCGGGCGCTACCGACTGCGAGATACTTTGCTAACAATGCTTTCATTTCTTATGGGATTAAAGTATAAACAACAAGGTTAACTACATATTAATTTATATATCTTTTACATGCTTTTTCTTTATAAACTATTTTACTTTTAGTCATCAGAAGCAGAATTCTCATACAACAGTGAAACATTCTGTCACAGTAAAAGGAAATCCATGTAGAGCAATTTTAGAAGAAAATCGATATTTAATTAAAAATAAGCCAATGACTAAAAATAAAACTCTTTCATGGAAATGTGGTTTTACACACACACACATACACACACAGGTACAGGTGAGAGCCAAGCGCAAATTGGACAAAAATTGAACTTAAAGCAAAAATGGAAAGAGAAGTTAACGAGGCGGCGCGATTTAAATTGAGTTTGGAAATTCGTCATAATAGGCGGAAAATCCCCAGTGAAACTTGACAAAACGGGTGTCACCACTTAGCATTAGCAACAACAACAACAGCAATAGCAATAACACCAATTGAAAAGTTTTTAGCATTAGCCAAAGCAATTTGCATAATTTACCAAATTATCGATTTTGCTATCGACCACCAGTGCTTGTCAAACTGTGAGTTCAAATCTGTCTCGCATTTCGACTCAATTTGTCAATTTAATTAAGCAAAACTTAGACCAGAAACCTTACAAAAATCTGTTTAGTGGCAACAATTATATAATATAGTGGCAAAAAACCACAGCCCAAAAAAAAACGACAACAACAACAAATGGGGGCTTAAAAGTAAACAAGAAAATAAAGCATAATCGAAAAGAACTGTTGCTATTAACACATGCAAATAAAATGTATGTATATACATATGTATATATGTGTATATACATTGTATATGCATTTACATACATACACAAGAAATACTTGATAAATAAAACAAGTGATAAGCTGGTTGGTTGCCTTATCAACTATTCGTTGTCTCATTCGCCTTATCCCAAATAGATTCGAACTGTGACGTGTTTGCGTCTTTTATTCATTTTATTTAGTTGCTTTTTTGTTTTATTTACTTATTTTTGCTTGTGCATAGCAATTGCGTTGTTGCTATTTTTAGACACAAGTCAATTTCATTTTAATTGTCCGACAGCAATTGAATATAAATCATGGCGAAAACAAAATGCAAAAACATTATTGGAATCTCCCAAGCCCGATATGCCTGCTGCTACTTCTATATGTGATAACAATATCAAAAATCTACTTTGATAAATTGCTTAGCTTAGATAAGTCAATTACAATGATATTGAGAGTGTATGTGTATTTCATTGATAAATCACATATTGAAGAGTTCATTATCAACGACGAACCGGAAGCAGTGAACTGAACTTTTGCCAATTATTTATATCCTTCCGGTTTGGGGCCGCTTTTTATCGGGCGCTGCTGCACACAAATAGAAAGGCCATCAATTGCAAAGTTGCTTGGTTCATTTCTTTTCTATTTTGTTTTGAATGGAACTCAAATCTCCAATGAATATCAAAAGGCCAGCAGAAAGACTTACAGTGAACACTCCTCAAGCATTTGAAATGCAAATCTCATTCGTATTTGTATTTAAAATTAGAAATAAACTTTTTTTCGAAATGAATAGAATAGAATAGAATGTTCATAATTCGATTCTATTGACAAACTGCCAACAATGCGCATTGTTATTGGTTTTATTGCTTATGCATATCATTGTCTTTTCTTCCACTTGTTGTTGTTGCTGCTGTTTGTAATCGAATTGCGGCACACATGTCAATATCCATTTTCAATGGCATTTGACGTTGAATAAAGAATAAAAATAAAATAATGCGAGAAACGAACTGAATAAAGCACAGCAGTAAATAAAAAGCGTAGCAATAGCGAACGCCTAAACAACAACAACAGTAACTGCAACAACAACAACTATAATGACAACGTTTTGATTCACATAACATAAATGAGCAGCCGGCTGCGCCCCCCACTCCTAGCCGCTTCACGACATGTTCAAAGACAACAAGCTGAGCAAAATGATAAGCAAAGAACCTACACACACTGAAAGACAATCTCTCATGCACACACACACATGCACTCAACCATTGACGAAGATGCAGTACACACACACACACACACCCACACACAGACCGAAAAAAAAAAAAACAAATTGGCTAGATAAGGGCGCGTTGATTAGGGGCCGCGACATCGCTGACAGACAAACAATAGCGAGAGTCAAAATGACGGAGAACGAGTGGAGAACGCTCAAAAAAAAAAAAAAAAGAGCGCCGGTAAAAAGAAATAGCAACGAGTGAGAGGCAACAGCAGAAAGAGCTGCAGCCGCCCCAATGACGACTACAGCTGTGTATGTGTATGTGTGAGTGCATGAGTGAACGGTGTCTCAATGGCCGATTGACCTTTGCATGTTAGATTAACATTGACTATGCATCTCTCTATGCACTTACTTTGCATGGATCTAGGTGTAAGTGTGTGTGTGTGCATGTGTGTATAAGCACTTCTATGTATGTGTGTGTGTGCTGTTTAGGGGGCCAGGCAGCGAGCTACTTAATTAGTTTAGTTCGCAATTCGCACACGTGCAAGAGCTAAAATCTATGTAAATGAGCTTTAGAGGTCAAACTTTATCAGCAGAATAGCGAAAACGCCCACCAAGCCAATTATACACACATTTCTACATACTCACATACATACATATGCACGTATGTACAGCTACACATACATATGCATGCATATACATACATATATAAATTGTCTGTAATTTGTTCTCTAGTGTCTTCTTCCTGCATAGACAACCTTCTCGCTCGTTAGCATTGCAATATGCCATCATCCCTGTCCCCCACTGCCTCCGATAAAGGTTCTCGTTCTACTTTTGCGATTCCTTCCTTCCGCTTGAGGAAGGACGCCAATACCGCTGCCCGTCCCCCTTGCGGCATTGAAAAGCCTCACGTGCATTGGCGGCCACAATACTTTTTCGAGTGTGGAAGTAAATACACACACACACATACAACCATATGCATTCACAGGCGAATGTGTGCGTGTCTCATCTTGCAGCTTGGAGGTCAAAGTTTTTTATTTTTATCTTTTGCTGATGGCAGAAAAAATGTTGTGAGTCTGGTAACACTACGAGCTTCAAATTTACAGTTTGAAATGCGAACGCATTCACTTACATACATACACATGCAAGCATGCATGTTCAACAACATATGTATGCACACATACCTACATATGTATGCATGTGTGTAGACAAGTTACACTAACCCGGCAAACTCCGTTTAACGGCGCTTTTAATTCTGCTTCGCTCTCTTTCACGCGCTCAGTGAACGCCGCTGTGGTCTCATGTGTTCACGCCGACAACGATGCGGGGGAGCAGCACAGAGCTAATGTTGATTGTCAAACTGTAAGCACAGCTGTTTCTTTGGCTCCTCTGCTTCTGCTGCTGCTGCTGCTGCGGCCGTTCACTCGCGAGTTCGTTGATTGGCAGCGTCTGTTGCTGCGCGCTGCAGATGTTGTACTTTCTTGTTTTTTTTTTTTTAATTGAAACTTGTTTTGTTAATTGCTTAATTGTTATTGCAACTTGTTGTTTTATCATTCAATATGCAGCACATGCACTTCATTATTTTTTTGGCATTTTCTATCAATTCAAAAATATGAATACTTATTACTTTCTTTCTTTATTTTTAGATTTCATACTTTAATAATAATAAAAAATATTTTCATTTTTCGCACAGAAAACACAACACTTCACTTTTCGCCAAACTTTTCTTTTCTTTATTCATTGTATTCATTAATTGTATTCTTTTATTATTATTATTATTTTTTGTTTGCATCCGTCGATTATTTAACGCCAACGCGCTTTCTATTTTACACAATATCCACTAAAGTCTACAACAACAATGGCAGCAGTAGTCTCCACTAATTTTTGTTGCCTTTGCTTTTGTTTTTGTGTTTGCCGCTGTCTCTCTCTATCTCTGTCTGTCTGCCTGTCGGTCGCTCGACAATTAAAGCTCAACTACAGTCAGCACACAGAGTGTGTTAAGTTGTCGTTGCCGAGTGCAGGGAGTTTGAGTGAAATATGTAAAATTGTGTTGTTGCTTTTTCTTTTTTTTGTCTTTTTTGTAATTTGTCATATCCGCTGCGCTTTGCCTCTGCCTGCCTGCGTGTGTGTGTGTAAGTAAAACAGAGTGAGCCTGCAACCCCGCTCTCATATCAGATGTTGCAATTCGAGATGCAACTTTCGCCACATTATGAAATTAATGAAGCGGAGGCGCCCCAACTGTTGTGTCTCTTAGCTGTTTTTGCAGGTCAAATGTCTGAGGACCACTTTATATGTGTTTATATACATACGTATATCTTGTACATGTGGGCACAAAGAAGAGATACAGAAACCGAAAAACCAGGCATAGCACAGGCAAAATATAAATTGTAGAAAAAGTCATAAATAACTCGAAAAACCAGTTTCGTGTTGCCGGTGTACACACCGCGCCGAAAGAGAAACAACAACAGCAATAACAACGCCAGCAGCAGCATCAACAATAAACAAATGTGCAAGAAGTGCGCTGCGCTGCTTGAGCTAGTGAGCGAGTGAGCGAGATGGCAAGCTAAGAATAACACTCTTAAAACTCGTTAAAGTTGTGCAGAAGATATAAAGCACAGGGGCAAAAAGACAGCTGACTCAAATCAGAAAATAGATATACACACTCACACACACACAGACACACGCACACAGAGTCTCTCCATCGTGTGTGTGAGTGAGAGAGCGACTCATTAACAGAGTTGGCAGCAACAAGACAGAAACGACAGGCAAGATAATAAGTTTTTACAGTTTGAGAGTCACAGTGCTGTTCAGGTGCATACTATTGAGTGCAAACTTCAAACACAAAACAAACTCAACACAGTTATCAGGCAATATATATATTTTTTTACTGTGTGCATAAACAAAAACTTTGGAAAATGTGACAGACAGCAAACTGGAGCAAACACAAATTAACAAAAACATCACAACGATAAAGTGATTAACACATACACGCACACACACAGACACATTTCAATTGTATGCACATGCATGTATGTATGCGTAAACACCCACACATACACTCACTTAGCCACGCATGCAACGGCATACAGAATTTCCTCCATGCGTATGCTTCTGTTAGTGTTGCTGCTTTGTTGTTGTTGCTGTTTGTATGCACACCCGCAGCGCTCCGCGCGACTGAGCGTTGCAAAAACAACTTGCTTTTGCTTTTTTTCTTTTTTTTTTTTCTTTTTTACGCTAACAGCACCGATAATGGCCGCAAAGAAATGACAACTGCTACGGCGCACGATCGAAAACGAACTGAGAGTACGAACTGCGAACAACTGAAAACAGCAACGAGCGAGTAGCATTTGGGAGAGTGAGCGAGCGAGAGGCCGCAAAAAGACAGAGAGATAGAGAGAGACGAAGAGACCTAGGTTCAGCTGCTGCTGCTGGCAGTGGCGCTGGCGCAGCCACAGATACGAAACACTTGTGCTTGTGAGCGTGTGAAAATTAAAATGCGGCAAATGAGCATTTTGTATTAGTATGTAATTATTGTTGCTGCTGCTGCTGTTGCTGTTGCTGTTGCTGCTCTTGTCGTTACTGTCGACGCGTCGTAGGGGAGAACTACTCACAAAACTTGAGCGCAGTCAATGTGCGAGAGAACGAAACGACAGAAGTATTGATAATGATAAATAGTTGTTCTCGTGTGCTTATTTGTGTGCATATATATATATATATATATAAATGTATAATTATGTCTGTCTGTCTGTGTGTGTGTGCCCATGTGTCAGAGCAAAAACTACATCACAAACTTGTTACACATACAAGAAGCACCTGTCAAACACATGCATGAGCATGTACAAAAATACAATGCACACACATAAAATAATACAGCAAAGCCGGCAGCAGAGATCTGCCAAGCAATTGAATGTGACCAGAGAGCTCGCAGATTTAAACTGAAGTTGAGTGACTCATGCGCAGGTGCCTTGGCCTCGCACAGGCACGCACACACATACGTCTATGTATATATGAATATGTATACCTAACTGTGATATGTGACCAGCTGTTCGCTGTTACTTTTAACAGCGACTAGCCGCAACAGAGGCATATGGTATTTTATTTAACCCATTGATGACATGGATACAATTTGAATTTTGCTGTTGAATTTTTTCAACATTTTGACTTGCAGTTCAACGACATTTAAAGCGGGTCGCGTAAAACGTTCATAAATACGCATATGTACGTTATATAATTATTTTTAATAGCAGCAATAACACAAAAATGCATGTGAAATAGGAAATCATTTTTGTTATATATACAAAGCTTTATAGGCATTTGATTCGTATACCCTGTTCGCCTGGACTAATGTGCAATAGAATTTAGGGTATATATGGAATTTTTTGGTTGATTTCGATACTCTGTTGCTTCTGAGAGATGTCCTATTTCCTGCACAGTCTAGTATACCTTGCAGTTGTTCAGGGTATCCAAATATCCAGGTCGGTGTCGGCGACGGTATCGCATTGTTGTCAACAAGGCAGGCAACAAGAAGCACACATACAGCATACATAATAAACTACAACTTTTCGTACGACTTTTATGATTTTTTGTATTTTTTTATAGCATTCTGGGGTTGGAATAACCTAAATTTTGCGCTATTCCAGCAGCAACGACAACAAGTAGAGTAGAATAGTAACTGTAAGTGTAACGTGGTGTAGGCCGGGCAATAACAGAGTTGCCACCTGTCCCACACAGACCGCAGCACGAGGCAAAAGTTGCGTGCGGCAGCCGGAAAGTGGCTTCAATAATCAGGCTGAAATGCTGATGAAAACTCAACAAAAGAAGGCCCGGGGGTAAGCGGGCCGAAAGCGGAGCAAGTAGGCTGGCAGACCAACAAAGTGAGTAGCAGCTGTGGCACATAAAAACAAGGACAAATTGCGGATTTAGCAAAAAAAAAAAAATAAAAAAAAAAAAAATGGGTATGTGAAAAAGAAATAAAAAGAAAACACACAACTCGCAGACGGACAGCGGAACGATGGAAAGGCGAACGTTGGCACGATGGAACGAGAGAAACGAAACGCACCAAGTGACCCATCAAACATTATGCGCCAATGACGTCATTAAGCTGTTAGCGGCTGTCAATGTCGCTGTCTCTCTCTTTTTCTCACTCTAGCATGCTCTATCCGCTCTCCTCCCTCTCTTGCTCGCTCTTTTGAAATGTCTGATAATTTGTGTGGGTGCTGGGGGAAATAGCAGCAGAAACAACATGCTAAAGGCCATAAGATGTTGATGTTTAATCAAAACATAAGGAACAGACGATGATGCTATGTGGCCAGAGAGAGATAGATATAAACATGCATGCATACACATATTTATGTACATATCCGAAGAGAGACGAGGTCTAAGTGCGTTCGTCTGTTGCAATCGCTAGAGTTTAAGCAAACTGCATTAAACGGAAATCAATGTGCTGATAAGTGGAAATTGAATGACTACTTGCGCAGCTAGTGGGTGGTATCTAAGGAAAAGTGAATTTGGAAAACACCTTGGCAAGATTAATAGTAGTGAAAGCTATCGTGGTACGCGGAAAATATATAAAAATTATGTGTGTACATCCATAACAGACAAAACTAAATCATCGGCATCGGCATCGGCGTCGGATACGTCAGCAGCAGTAGATGAAGTAGATGGAGCAGAAGAAGGAGAAGAGGAAGATGACGAAAAACCAATAGTGTGAAATTTTCATCTAATTAAATTAGATGCCAGTCATGCTTGAAGCGCAAAGCTCAATGGGCGCGAGCAGGACGGGACGACACACAAACCGAGGAGGCGTTGGGAGAAAAAGGTGCATAGTGAAGAGACAGTCAAACAAATCGATGGGATTTAACGACCAGCCAACAAAACAGTAGCCCACACACTCACACATGCACACACATACAGCTGTGAGCATGCTGAGGCTAGGCGCAGCAATAATGCCCAAAGTCCAGCGACTCAGGCTTCGCGAATGTGACTCATGGAAACTGATATCGCGAGCCCTTGAAGAGACTGTAAATGACATTAAAGTTTGTCACAGCTGAAAATACTTGATAATTGAATGCGTATTCAAATTCTGAAACTATGCGAGTAAATAATCGCATTGCAAATAGTAAATTAAAATATTCTTGCATAAGAGCCAATTTAAGATTTTCATCTAATTTCTGTCTTGTTTATCAAATAACAAACAAGCAAGTCCTTATCTATTGGAAATTCCTCAGTTATTAGCTAACCTCAGCAATTAGTTAACTTTTGTAAAAAAAAAATATAAGAAAAAAATATTAAAGGGAGAACAAATCAACGACGAAAACAAAATTACATCTCTAGCCGCCACACCAGGAATGATCTTAGACGTCTCCACTTTCTATAGCAGCGGGACCGTTTCTTAACATACGAGTGTATAAAAAAAACAACTCAAACATTACCTGTAATACTCGTTCCCCAACGATTCAATTTTGCTCACTTATAAAATTTACTATATGTTCATTATAAACTATTTTTTTGAATTTGAAATCAAAGCTCACAACTGTGTCCAAAGCTCGAAATGAATTAACTGTAGTGTATGTTTATAAAAATATATATTTATATCGTCAATCAATTTTTCGATGTCGTGTTAAATTAACTTAACATATCTATGTACATTGCACCGCCCACGGTGAGCAGCCAACAGAAATCCTTTACAGCCTTTACAGTGATAAGCGGTTTAAGATACGACACTTCGCTGTGAATGGCAAGCGCCAAATGGCAGTATCAAGTGACGGACAGTTATAAGCTGTACATTGCTGACAGCTGCTCGGAGGCGTCCCGAGGCGCTGACAGTTAGCCAGCCAGTGTTGATTAACAGCGGCATAAGCATACTGAAACAGACATTCAATATGTTCGCTCGTTTGTTTATTTGTTTGTTTGTGAATAGATTAAGTTTTCTCCCATGACTAATGTCATAGATGTCAATCAATTTAGAGTTCCGATAAATGCGCGAATCCTCAAAATAATCTTTATTGCTTTGAATCATTTATAAGCGATGACTAATTCTAAATAAAAAGGTATTTCAAACAATTACACTGATAAAACTCACATGCCTTTTGTTTTGGGTTATTAAGAAAATCTGCATGGGTTATTCTACCGCAAAATGTACATCAAGCAAGTGTATACATACGTATATATCTAAATAACATTTTAAATGAAGTCTTATTTTACTAATTGATGGAATTACCTACTCATATGAATATTATATGATATGATGATATGACTGTAAGTAGAGCTAATTTTAAAACATCCTGGTACTATCATCAAAAATATTTTACTATCGACTCCAAGACATGATTTATGTTTACTTTCTAATCTAATTCACAAACGAGATAATATTATATTCCATATACATAAATATGCCAGGTATACAACTTATACGTATTTGATTGAAATTTAAATTCCCTACACTTTTACTACACCCTTCAGTTTTCACGCCTCTCACAGGCCTTACTCATTATGGAAAAAATTCCGAATTTACAGCTTGGCTCTCCGCACTTGTAATTCTCAATTTTGCAATTCTCTTTCGCCGGCGATAGAGAATTCAAGTGCAAAGCAAATGCCAAGTACTTTAGAAAAAGTTTTAAATACTCCTTGCAGCTGGCACTGCCGCTCTATTTGCCTTGGACTGCGTCGTCATCTTTATCATCGTCTGGCACTTGTTCCGCCATGACGACGACGCAGACATGGCCGTTGACTCATTAGAAGCGCTAACAAGTTGGTCAAGTTTTGAGCTCTCTTTTCTCTACTGTCTCTCTCTCTCTCGCACTCTCTCACTCGTTTCTCGGATTTTCCGTCATGTTTGCTGCATCAAGTAATTCACTTGCCAAAAGGCATTCGCGTTACGACGGCCAAAGTTGAGTTCAAGAACAATTTCAATTTAATGAACCCCACACAGCCGTCAGACAGGCCTTGTCTAGGGTCATTTGCGCTCCGGATTTGTTGCGCTTGATTGGCGCTCATCTTTCGCTGTTTGAGCCGTGATCTTAATTATTAACAGCCAACAAGCAACTGGTTTTACTTTTGCATTCATTTTATTTTTAACATAAATTTCATTTTAATTAATACGACAATCCACTCACATATATACAAACTCGAGTGTTATCTCTCCTCTCTCTCTTTCTCTCTCTCTGTTTTACTCTCTTTTCATTTCTGATTATGGTAAGTTAATCTCAAGTCCAAGTCCAAGTCCAAGTCGCCAGCAGGCTCTCTGACTTCATGCGATAATTACAGCATATATATGCAGTATGCAATCCATAAAATCTCAAGCGAAGGTTAAATCACTTTAGAGCGATATTTCAATATTTAATCAATTAATTATGAACATCACGCTAGTCTCTAGAGCTGCTGCAGGCATCGGCTATCTATATATGGATATATGGATACATCTATATATGTATGTATATCTATAGTCCGTTACGTTTACACAGTTGATGCTATTGGCTGATTGGGTTTGACATGTTTTTGTTGTCGTGTTTGCATTTCACAATACGACAGCTGTTCATATGACACACAAATATAATATTTTTATTAAATAAGAATACATTCTCTAGTTATTTCAATGCACTTTATCCTTGTTGCTCCGGCTTTCACCTTGACTTACAATATTCATACTATTCTTTCAATCAAATTCAATATTCGGCCTTTACCTTGAATTAGAATATTCATTCATTATCATTATATATTCCCGTTAATCACCTGTACAGTTATTAGAATTTTCCCCGGGTCACAGATAAAAATATCGAAATGGAGTTAAAGAACTCTTTTTAATAATTTCGGAATATCGAAATGAAATTGAAAAAAACTTCATAATCTTAAATTCTTTTGAATTTCTCTGAACGACAGAATGTCTACAATTTATTTTTATTCACGCCACTTGAAGCCACAAAATTGGCAAGTAATTATACCCCAAGGTCTCATTGTTTGGGCTTAGTTATTAGAAACATCAGTTCCAGTCTAGGCCCAAAACAAAATAATATTATTAGAGAAATGCGACAAGAAAATATTCTCTGTGTACACCTCAAAATGCAGACAACAAACAAGGCTTACGCAGAATGAAGATAGTAATAATAATAAAAATAATAATAATAGATGGGGGCGAGCCGTAAACAAAAAGACGACAACTAATGCAAACAGCAACCTAGAAATGTCAATAGACCCGGCACAAGGTAAAGGAAACGGCAACAACTCAAATTTGTACAAATATTCAGAGAGAAAGAGCGAGAGAGAAAGATAGATCTAAATATATATGTGTGGGTGGGTATTTGAACTGAACTTTCCGCTTCCTCACAAGACACACGCATCCTCCTCCCGCCCCCGATAGAGTGAACTGACGTTTCATTCAAGCCTTCAACGAGCGAATGTCTGCCAAGGAATCGCATTACAATAAGTGCTCAAACACATACAAAACTAAAAAAAAACAAGTAAGAAAGCTCCAGTCGAGACTGCTCGACTAGGAGATACCCTGAACCCTCCAAGCTGATATTCTAATCATTCTGCACTTCTTTTATGCACACATACATACACATGCATCCACACGCACGCATAAGCCTGCGCTCTGCTAACTGCGCAGTAAGCAGCGACTGCGCTTGGGCTGCGCTGCAGTGTGGGCAATATTATGAGAATTTATTTGTTAAATAATTTCTTTTGTAGACATACGATCTTAATGAAACTTTTAGAGCGTAATCATATGGTGAATATGTGTGTATATTCCAAAGCCCAAGTCTCTAGTATTTGAAATACGCTTTNCCACGCCTCCTTCTGCCTGTTACATACTTTTAACAAAACCATTATACCCTGATTTCCCATTTTCAATGGGTTCAGGGTATAAAAAAAAAAAAAAAAACAAAAAGCACCGAACGATGTCGAAAACAGAATCGAATAAAATACAAAAGTTTAAATAGAAATGCGATTTGCTAAAAATAAAATGTTAGAGAAAACAACAAATTCATAGTCCACACATATACATGTACATATATATATGTAAATATACAAATAATAGTTGGACTTTTTCTCTTGGCCATCGATAAAAGCCGCTGAGCATTGGCGCTCAGTGACTAAATGGAAAACCGAAAAGAGAGCAACAACAAGGCACACTTATACACTTATACTTCCCCACACGACTTATACGTTTACGTTAGAAGAGTATGCCGAGAATACAGGTGGCTCTGGCAACGTGCTCTCGCTGGCCAAAGAAAAAATAAGTATTCGCCTTGAATTCACGTTGTAAGCTAATTTCCCTAACTAGGACGACGTCACTGATTGCCAAACATTTATAAATAGAGTTTCTTCTATTGTTAGTATTATTATTATAATCGATCGTCACTTTTCGCTTGTTGATGTTGTTTTTGGCAGCATTTCAGCTGCACGTAATCAATTCATTTTTATGATTATAAAATTTCTGTTCTAGTTCCCTTGCTTTTATCATAATTATATTCTTTTCATAGTGGTGTGAAATATCTATTGTAAATCCGACACACAAATTATTAAAATATATATTTCATTGTTAGCCGAAGCGAATTCGTTAATGAAATATGCAAACTTTCTATAAATTGATTAATAATAACTGCAATAACTCCGCAGATTTACATACTCTACTATATTCAATATATTTCTCTATTAGTATTACTATTACAATCTTATATATGTATATCCAGTATCTGCAGTATCCAGCCCAAGCAATCTTTCTAGCAATCTTTCCTTCGATAATTATCAGAGTTATCTAGTAGTCCTATGGCTATAATACACTACCGTGATCATTTAACATATTTATATTGAAATCTGATCTTCGTTTTATTTCAAATAACGATAAACATTAATAATAAACAAAAAACTTTTGTTCATAAAAACAGATTTCTAATCTATATTCCCAGTACTAGTTGATTAAAGTCTATATAACATATACAACTTGTTTGTTTAAATATCCCATATATAAAGGGCATATTCAGTGTCGACTTTCTTCCTGAATTATCTAATCGCCAAACATTTCAAGTTATTTTCAACTTTCTCAGCAACTTTAGCGTCCACCCTGATAACAACAACGCATTGAATTGTACAGACATATATAAATCATTATAATGAACGCTTTTGCGCGTTACTTGAGTTTCGAGATAACAGGCAAGAGATTGACAAAATATTGCTCATGATCGTACTTGGCAATGCTCCTTGGTTTGTTAATAAAAATTAATTGATTTACTGACTTGTTTTCATATTTTCTAGAAATACGTATTCAGTTTTGAGTATCAGTGAGCCAACGAAAGAATTCTTAAATCATTTGAACGAATAATTTAGTTAGGAATAGTTTGTTGATGTTGGAGTGTTGTGTCAAATCGAATTGAATAAATGTGAAATGAATAAATGAAAAATGGGAAATCTACGCACGATTTTCGAAGATTTAAAGCAAGAGGGATTTGAGTGAGCTTTGCATACCACTGACGCAATGTCCTAACAAGCACGTTTAGCCAACGCTGAATGAAATCAAATCTGTTAGTCGGAGGGGTAGGGTATTTGTATAGCTGATCGATGGAATAGGTATTCGATGAAATGAATTAGATTTAAAACTCACCTCGCTTGTCGTTCGCGTCGCTGCATACTGTAATTATTATTGTAATTATTGCTACTGTTCTTGTTGATGTTGACGTTGTTGTTGTTGTTGTTGTAGCAGTTGCAAGTTTCCTTCAATCACKTTCCACAGAATTTCCAAAGATAATATATATAAATAAATATATATATACGAAACTAATAGCAACAGCTAATGATTGTTGATAAGATTGATCCAAAACGTTGTAGAAATGCGAAATTGCTGTTCCAAATTTTCCGTTCAAACTGTTGAATGTGTGGACTTTATTGTTGATCGTTTGTTGTTTTAGATGTTAGTTGTTGTTGCTGCTGCCGCTATGTTGTGCGTGCACACACATGCACACACACATACACACGCACGCACACACTGGCACACGCACACACACTCACTTAACATCCACGCATGCCGCGCATGCGTCCAATGCATACGGCAAGCCAATTGCTCTGTTGCTCTGTTGCACTACTCTCTCCAGTCGCCACTCTCTACCTCTCTCTTTCGCTCCACTCTCTTCTCTAGACACAAGTTCGCAACTACCCTACTACTGCTCCCTTCTGTTGTTCTTCTGTTAGCTTACAGTTGCTTTTGTTGATCTGTTGTTGTTGTTTGTTGCTGTGGCATCAGTGCTGCTGTCGCTTGACATTTAGGTATTCAATTTGAGCATTTCCTTGGTGATTTGTTATTTGTTAAATRTTGTTGTTGTTGTTGGCTATTGTTGAATGCAGCTGTATTATATATTTACTGTTTATCTTAATTTAAGTGCTCGCTCGCTTGTCCGGTGCGTCGAAATATCTTTGTTATTATTGTTGCTCTTGTTGGATAAAGAAAGGCAGTTACGTTCTATGTAGTACTAGGTAAACAAATAATTTTGGCTAACAATTTAACAAACACACTTTTGCACATTTTCCCCACAAATTTCTAACAATTTTTGTAAATTATGGTTGACGTATTTTGCTAATGTTACGCCTACGACAACTAACAACAATAGTTTTTTGTTTAATTTATCTGATCTTGATCTTTTCTTTCTTGTTTAACTTATAGTCAAATTCTATTTAACCGATCGTCAGCTGTCATTTGGCGCGCGCACATTGAAAATATGTTTGTTTGCCTCTTTTTGTGGGATGGTAGCGCTGTTGAATGTACACCTTATGGCCGACCCTGCGATTAGCATGTCATAACAGGCTGTAATTATAAGAAAATAATAATACATAAAGTGTAATAAAAGAAAACTTCATTCATTTCTGATTAACAACAGAAATATATATAAATATATTTATTTCATTAAAATTTAGTATTAGGTCAATTCCCTTCATTAATAATCTGTCTAATTAATCTTTAAACAAAGTTAAGGAACTATTATCATTTAATCATAGTTATACATTTTAAGAGTGCGAAAATCCACCTCACAAACAGTATATTGTGGTATATTCACTTTATTAGGTGCGGTCACACTAAAGTTGAGAGAGTGCCTGCCGCATACATTTGCCCATTGATTTTCAGGCGCTTATGCTGGCTTAAGAATAATGTAAGTGTTCTTAACCATCAGAGTTATCTTGTCCATGAATTAACTGATCCCTCAATGAAGGTCAAATATAACCCAATCAGACAACACATATGTATACCGTGCACATCGCTGCAGTATACAATGTTAAGGAAGTGTCTCAAGAATCAGGCCAATTAGTGCATAGACATTCGGCCGCACATAAATATATGGTCGACCTGAGGAGAAATGGTTCATGGTTTTTTTTTTTTKTTTWTTTTTTTTTTTTCATAAACAAGAAGGCCACACAAATTTTAAACTTTATTTGTACGTGGTTTTTTATTTCATTGCTTTTTTGAATGCTTTCGGCACGCAAAAGCTTCTCACCAACGACCGCAAAACTACAGGGTGCACAAATGTTACTGTTTGAATTTTGGCATATTTTTTTAATTGCCAACGCGTCATTTATATTATGTCGTGTCTGATTTTTTATAACACACGGTCATAAAGTTTAACTTACTGCTAGATTTGTACTTTATATGTACCTTTTCGACAATTTTGCACACATATTCCTCACCTACGCCTCATTTTTCATTGCTCACTTACACACACGCGCGCACATACACAGTTACACACACACACGMAGACCAGCGATTGGCCAATTTCTATAGTCGGGTATATGTATGCGATTTTACACTTCTTATGCGGCGCGTTTTTGTGGATTTGTGTGTTTGCTTCCTACATAAAAGTCAGGCAAACACTATTTTAATATTTATACGATTCGCCATCTAATTGTTTAGCAAAGCCAAACGTACGCAAGAGAGCACGAGAAAAATGGAGCGACTTTTTCCCCTGCCTTGCACACACACACACAAATTGAACACTACGTTGCAATGTGACCGTGCATATTTAAGGGCAAAATACTAGGTTGTAAAAAATCCAAAAGCATTTGGGAAAATTATACCAAATATACTAGGCAATACATAAAAATAATTAGCCGGCCTTTGTTTTGACAGGGAAAAACTATTTAAATCACTCGACGATCTTTAGCAAAGCGCGTTGAAATACTTTTAATTTAGTTCGAGCCACTTTTTGTTTTAATCCCTACCATGGTCTTGTCATACAAGTGTTGTTTAAGGTAACATCTGTATGTGCACCATACACTGACGCAATCAACAATTTATTTCACAAAGGTAATTTATTACTGTAACTCCTTAATTACAGTTATTCCGCACCATTAAATACAGCACAATATCCAAATATCAGCAAAAAACTGATAATATTTTCTATACAGGTGCAAAAACTCTGCTTTGCTCTACTCCTCAGCAGAGTGACCGACTCTGGTATTTTGTTAATTGTGTGATATTAGGGATATATCGGAAAAGTATCGATAATGGCATGCCACCGCATTTCATCGATATTAACATATTCGATTGGTAAACTCAGATAACAACAATAAAATTAAAATTTGTTAATGTGAACTAAAAATTTCTTTATGATCTTAATCCGCATTTAAATGTGTTACTCGCTATGTGTCAAATTTCACTTTTAAAATTTAAAGTCGTTTATTAATAATTGAAAATGTTTACAATTATACTGAAGACATTGTATTTAATTAAAATGTGATGGTCAAAGAGCATAATATATTTCCGTTATTGGCCATTTAACAGGTTTATATATTCAATAACATATAAAATCATTAAAATGAGAAATTACAATTTTAATGTATGAAAATACTATTTCAAATCACGTATTTATCGATAAGTTTCATACAAAAAAGCGCAATTTTTGCCGTAATTTTAAAGCCAAAACCAAATAGCACGTGCAATTGTTGTGGATGCTCTTAAACTATTTTAGTTGAAGAAACAAAATGGGCCGAATTAAAGGAAATCAATCAAAAAAGAAGGTAAAATCAAATGTTAAGTACCGGCGCAACTCTTATGTAATTTCCTACCACAGACTTTATTGACGAATTCCAAAACCTACTGCGATCAAGCTGCTACTGCTGTCACTAGCAGCGACGATGGCTTCGACGAACCAAAGGAAATAACGGCACCTAAACGTAAACTCCCTAGCGGCAATAGCGAGGCGAAAAAAAAGAAATTTAAGCACACAGAAGCAAACGTGAAGCCGCCAACTTTAGAAGAAATAAAGGAGATACGCGATACCCGTAATCTCTTTCACTCTAATCTGTTCAAGCTGCAGGTTAAAGAGATGCTGGAGGAGCTCCAACTCAAACCCAAATACAGTACCTACATTGAAAACTGGCTAGAGACGTTTACGACTGCGGTGCATGAGTTCCAAGATGGATTGCTCGATAACTGCCAACTGGAAGTGCCGCTACATTTGCACAAGAAACTATTTAATTTTCAATTTCTAACTCCAACTGCAGAGCCTAAGTTGATTGGCGCTGCCGCCATAGGTACATTGCTGGGTCCAAAGCTTGTAGTCGATGTGGCTTTGGAAATGCCCGAAAAGTGCTTTCAGAAGGAGGATTATCGTAATCTAATCTACGATCAAAAGCGCGCCCTATACCTCGCGACGGTGGCCAGCAAATTGAAGGAGCTACCGGCCTTCGCTGCGGATCACTTCGCTTACAACTACCATGCAAATAATCCACTGAAGCCAGTGCTCGAACTAACACCCACAGGCAAGATAGGTAAACATTTGTCGTTGCGCCTGTATATCACAGCGCCGAAGGCCATCTTCAAGCTGAGCCGCTTCGTGCCTTGGAATAACAATGTTCGGCCATCATTCTTTGGGGACAAGTGGGATGAGTCGGAAACGTTGCCCTCCACCCAGCACTACAATGCCAATGTGCTCTTCGATTTAACGCTAGCTGAGAATCAAAAGCTGATGCTGAGCACATTCTCAGGCCACCGAAACTTCCAGGAGGGTTTGCTGTTGCTTAAGGTGTGGCTACGCCAACGGCAGCTGGATGTCGGATTTAGCGGATTCAGTGCTCACATCCTAGCAGCCTACATTGTGTACCTGAAGCAAAACCGTTTGCTGCATCAGTCGAGTAGCAGCTATCAGGTGGCTCGCACCGTATGGAACCAGCTGGCCAACAGCGACTGGACGCAAGGCATTACCCTATGCCCGCAACAGCCGCACCAGCTGAGCACCTTGGCCGGCTACTACGATGTGTGCTTCATGGACGTCACTGGCTATTACAACATGTGCGCTAATCTCCCGCTCTCTGTCTACAAAGCCGTTTGCGCCGAGGCTAAGTTGGCCGTTGAGCTGCTAAATGATGTGAGAGTTAATAGCTTTTCACAAATTTTCATGCAGGCATATCCATTGTACACTCGAATGGATAACATACTCAAGTAAGGGATTCGATTATCCAGCTAAACTCTACTATCAATAATAGTTTAAGAAGTTATACCTTTCATTCATTGAAAAGGAGAAATAAGGATATATAACAATATAAGAAGAGATATATTTGCAGAATTATCAAAAAGCTAAACACTATTTCTCATAATTTTCATTGCAAAGGATTACGAATCCCGCCACCGTGGACCAGCTACTTGAGTTGCATGTTCAGCCGCAGGTCAAATACGATTACGCCGACTATGCGCATCCGCAGCTGCTTAAATTGCTAACAGAGTGAGTAAAATTATGTTATTTGTCAAATGTTAATAGACACCTAAACATATTCTTGCATAGGTTACTACAGAAGGGTTTGGGAAAACGTGTCCATGCGATTCTGCCATTGGAAACAGCTTCCAAATCCTGGACCGTGGATACAAAAGCTCCGATTATTGGTCGCTCCTTGACGTTAGGCTTAATACTCGATCCTGAGCACGCATTCGAAGTGTTGGACAAGGGACCAGCGACCAACGAGGATGCCGAGGGTGCTGCGGAATTTCGCAAATTTTGGGGAGAGAAATCTAATTTGCGACGCTTCCAAGACGGCAGCATAACGGAGGCAGTAGTCTGGGCTGCCGTCACTGATGCCCCCAGCAAAAAGCGCTTGATAGTGCGCCAGATAGTGTTGCATCTGCTGGAGCAGCATCTGCAGTTGGAACAAAGCGACGTGCACTACATTGCTGGCGAACTAGACATTGTCTATTCTCTGACGTCTTCATTTAAAGTGGCCAAGCTGCAAACCAAGCTGAAATTGGAGCAGGAAACCGACGCCGAGGCAGTGACACCGCTCGTCATCCACTGCTACGACGCACTGGCCCGGCAGTTGCACACCCTCGGGGATCTGCCGCTGGATATAGTCTCAATATCTGGTATTTCGCCGGTCTTTCGCTATTGTGAGCCGCAGCCTCTGTTGCCGCAAGCACGTCTCGTGGCAGACCGCATGCATGCAGGCCACGTGCTGCGTGTGATTATTCAGCTGGGTCCGAGTGGCAAGTGGCCCAATGAGTTGGGCGCACTGCGCAGCCTGAAGACCGCCTTCCTAATACAAATTGGCAAGCAGCTAAAGGAGCAGCAACACCTTCACACACAGCTCTGCAAAGAGGGCTTGTTGGTGCTCAAACAAGGCTACTGCTTTCTCCTGGAGCTTGCGCACACCAAAGAGGTGGCGCTGCTGAAGCAGCAGCAAACGGAACGTGGCGTAACTGCATACGTGGACAATGCGGCCAGCCGCGAGATCGAGCGACGTCACTATATACTGCCGCGAGTCAGTGGCGCGCTGCACGCGCTGCATCAGTCACACAGCACATTCGGACCCACGGTGCTCATTGCCAAGCGCTGGCTGGCCACGCAAATGATCGACGACGGTCTGTGGCCATCCATAGCAACGGAGCTGCTGGTGGCACATCTGTTCCAGCAGCGGCAAACGCCGCACACAACTGTCGCCCCACAGACTGGCTTCATTCGCTTCCTGCAACTACTGGCGCACAGCGACTGGGCCAGCGAACTGTTCTTGCTCAACTTCAACAATAGCTGGACAGGTAAGGATATCCTGCGTCCATTCTATCATCCACTTCTCATACTATTCGTACTTTTGCAGAGCAACAGATTACGGACTTGGAGCATAGCTATCGCAGCGAGCGCGACAGCTATCCGGCTTTGTGCCTGGCCACGGCCTACGACCAGCAGCATGCAGGTCGTCTGTGGACCACTGATGACTGTCCCAGCAAGCCAGTTTTGGGGCGAGTCACACTCTTGGCACGACACGCACTTCAGCTAATCGAGTCGAGCCTGCTGTCGCCCAGCCTTGGATTTGTGCGGCCCGCCCAATTATTTATAGCGTCAGGAGAGGGTTATGATTTGGTCGTCGAATTGAAGCCAGATCTGCTGCCCAATACGCTCTGCTACGATCTCGGCTCGCCATTTTTACCATTCAGTCAGCGCAATTTCCGCTTGCCTCTGGCGGGCATTGACCAGCTGGCCAAGATTGTGCAGCAGCTGAGAGTAAGTTGCAATGAAAACCATTCAATTATAAAAAACTTTTGTTAAGCAATATTTTATTTGTTCTCTTTCAGTCCGCTTATTCCGAATACGCTGCCTTCTTTTATAATCCTCATGGCGGCAAAGAGCTGGCCATTGTGTGGCGACCTGCCTCTGAATTTGCACCCAAACCGTTCAAGGTGAATGAGCTGCAAGCGTGCACGCCCTGCTCTGCAGGGAAAGTCCAAGTGGTGAGGGATACGTTGGTCGAGGATTTCAAGTTGCTGCTGAAGGACTTTTATCTGCGCATCTGCACGCCAGAGCAATTAAAGCGTGAGCAGCGCAGTCACAACAAGCCCAAGCGTTATTTTGATGACCAGGGTGAGCCGGATGTCGACAAGCCGCAAAAGAAGAAGAAGAAAAAGGGGCCCGTAATTAAGCCAACTGATCTAAAGAAACGCTTGAAGAAGAGCAAATCACTAAGTGCTTTATGTTAATATGTAAATACTAGAGTTAAACTACTTACAAGACATAAAATTCAGATAAGGTCAAATTCTAAAATCTAAAACCTTATTTCGAGTGGCCAGCGCTGATGTAATACGATTGCTATTTCGTATCCTTCGTAACCTTCGCCTTGTCCTTGTCCAGAACCTCTTTCGGTTTGAGGTCTTTTTCCTTCGTCTCCTTGGAGGTCTCCTTAGGTATTTGCGTTTTGGATTTAAACATGACTTTGCATAAGCTGCGTCGCTTGGACAGAGATTTCTCCGATTTTTTCTCCTGCAATTGTGTGTTGGGGCTGGACGGCTGGCATCCACTGGATTGAGTTTTTTTTACATTGTTTACTTCCACCGTGGTAGTTGGCTGCGGAGTGGTTTGTGACCCTGCGTCCGTTGCAGTGGACTTTGTCCACGTTTGGCAACTACCATCTCTTTTATCTGCACTCTGCCTCTTGTTGCGTTTGATCGGCTTGAAGTCTAAGAGTCCACTGGTCGATGTTGAAGTGCTGTAATTCATCGGATAAGGTGAAGTGCACCTGGGCTGCTTGGACCAAAGCAATTGGTTAGACACGTCCGCCACCATTTTCGCGGGGTTTGATTCCATTTCAATGTCCGGACAAGGTGGACTAGTTGGAAAAGTGGAGGTATTCTGTGCCTGGCCGGCCAAAAGTAATGCTTGCAGTGCGGAAAGCTGAGTAGCTGGTGCGCTACTACCAAAAACATTAGCATTAAGTTGATTGAAAATGGGCAGAAAGGGATGATTGGGTGGATTGGAAAGCACTTGAGTGTAGCTCAATTTACGTATGTCCTCCGTCCGCCTGATGTCCTGCTGTACAACCACAAACACTTCATTACCCACCAGAATGGGTACTGCAAAGGAATTAAAACAGATCAGTTGAGCTAATTCGCTGGGGAGGACCGAATGCAACGCTCACTATGCACTGCTGGCGCTGCCTCCTCATGTACTTGAAGGAGTCTCGTGACTGTATGATTATTGGCCATTCTTAGTAACTGAATAATTTTGTATTTTAAAAGAAACAACACGATAAATTTAAAATCTTCTGTTTATATAAATATTCTTGCTTAATCTACCTACAAATGATTACATAAACCTAACAGAGTGCTTAGAGAAAAAGCATACCCTATGGAAAACACACAGAAAGATAATTGTAGAAAAAAATCGGTTGAGATAGGTTTAGACATTGAATCTGCCAGCATTTAGTTGCCTAGTCTAATTTACCGTTGCCCACTCAGCTTCGGATTGATTCGTCCTTTAAACTTGATGGAATAACGCCAGGGGTTAGGATTTCTTTATCCTTATTTCCAAATTCAGGATACAATTTGGCTGTTTGGCCCAACGGCGTACAAAGCCGTCCAGAAAAATCCAAGCGTTTGCTCGATTGACTCCGTTCGGCTGAACTGATTATGTCTAGCAACGACCTGCAAGAGATTTGATAGAAAATGTCATTTACAAATTAATCACTATCTCTACTATCCGAGAATATACCGTTGTCCACAGCCCGACATGCGTCGCTTGCTGGCTTTTAGTATGCTGCTGGACGAACTGTTGACACTGTTGGTCGGCTCAAGGCGTTCGGGTGAGAGGGGCGATTCAGTATAGGAGCGCAAGTGAGCAGCACTTGGGTCCGACTTGTTGGAGGCATCTCCATAGGCTGCGCGGAGACTTTGCAGACTTTCCAGCAGATTCTTGTGATGCGGCGTATGTGCGTTAAGCTGAATCAGTTGCTCCAGCTCTCTATAGAATAGTCTGTACTGGTCCTTGGTCTTGTTTACCTTTAGGCTGAAAGAGTGCAGATAGTTGATTGTAATTTTTAATTATATATTTTAAAATTTATATCTCATTCAATTACGTACCGTGCGTTATTTGAATTGCTAAAAGGCAGCAAGTCACCGCGAGACGCGCTTTTGTATAGCTCGTGGATCTGCTGTTGGCAGCGCACCTCGTCCTGCTTGTCCATATCCTCCTTAACTAGCAAATGCAGAAAGTGTGGCAGCCAGCTCAGCTGTCGCTGCAAATTGAACAGAATTGTTGCATTGGCTGTTCTGGGAAAGTATCGCGGCATTCGCCTCCATAGATGTTCTCCTTGAGAGCATTTGCCCTTGGGCCTAGTCTTTAGGGGCACCAAGCGCGACATCTTAAGTAGTTGGCCCATTTCTGGTATGCGGTAGTCGGGGACACGTCCGCCGGGTCCGTCGGTTATTGATGGCGCCTCATCCATAGCGGAGCGTGCAATCGAAAGAGAGTGCACAAAGATTTCACCGCCACGGGCGGACAGCATGTGACTGGTTGTCTTCGTGCCCGATTTCCGAGGCACCTCCAAGAGTACAGAGCGACCGTTTAACAGAAAGTTGATTAAACACGAGCTGGGCCGTGAGGTGACATCGACGGGCGTAACATTATACTGGCCCACACACGGTTGTAGATCCGCAGAGCCGCAGCCACGCGGCGTGCACCATTTCAGGGTAACTGTTTCGTAGGCAGTTCCCGGCTTGATGCTGGTAGTGAAAGTAAAATCTGGCCCACAGACTTTTGTATGGGCGGCACGTTCGTGCAATATTTCTACGTCATAATTAGCGCTGGAATTGGCATTCTGCTCCTCTTTCATGGGTATGTTGGTCACGGTGGTGCTCGCCAGATCGTAATGACCCATTATAAGATGCAATAGCTTATCCGAAATTTCCGGTGCATTGACTGTATGTATCTCAGTATTAAGAAACGGGGATATTTCGAGCAGACTTCGATTTGTCACCAGGGATTCCACCCCCAATGGCACGATGTTCAGTATTACTAGATGGCAATGATCGATCTGCAAACCTTTTTTGGAAGGTGGTGCAACCAACGCATTTTGTTGTATTAGTACCGTATTAAATATATCCTCTAAGCCTATGGAAAAACAATCGGATAAAGTCATTTTGTTCAATACATTTCTAGCTGATTCTACTTACTTTTCATGCTAGTATTATCCCGCGCTGATGTGATGCAAATGACACGGCCCTTGTTACCAATTCGTTTGCAGCCGGCATGAGCCGCTTGGAGTTGTTCATCTGTCGGCTCGGCCAACGCCTCGATGGCAGCTCGCAATCCATGTATGACCGAATAGTCTGATGATTGCGGAATACTGCGTGATGGCACGCTTACCATCATCATGGCGTTAGAGACATGCGACATATTTTGCGTGCTCGGACTCCAGGTGTTTACTATATGCGCCGCCGTATCAGAAACAATAAAGCGCACATGCTTTTTGCCAGGAAACAGATCCCAAACTATGCGACAATACTCTATGGATGACTCGACAGCACACGTCCATAAGCTTTTACTTAGCTGAGTCCCAACTATCGAGCTACCACTGCCTGGTGACTCGGCGACCGGCTTGCCTTTTAGATAGTCCATTGATATATATTGCTCACTAGAAATGCTAAAATAACGAGTGTGGTCCAATACAAATATGGTTTTCTGGTTACGCTCAAACATGATTGTAGGCTTAATTTAAAAATTGCAATTTTTGCGAACTAAAGTTAAAACTGAAATATGTTTGTTGACAACAGGTGTTGCAATAGTGATGTGCTACATTTTCGATCACGCAACTAAGTAACGACGATAACGACCGTTTTCAGTTTCCCAAAATAGCGCCAAATAAATCACCATATACCCATCAAAAAGTATGTATATGAAAACGATAGTTCTTGAACAATCACGAAGAGTCAAGTAACCTATGAATTTAGCATATTAAATATATTCATATATTATACGTCATTCAAACTTAGCAAATAAATATACATATCATTGAAATAAACATACACAAATGATACTTTAATTCCTACAAATGATTTATGAACATGATTTTCATTGTCTATGGTGAATTATTTAACCATTTATCACGGCTATTCGATACATCGTATAAGCTATCAGTAAAATTGTATATCGATGTGGTTCTTACATCACTACTAGAATCACGTTGTCGAATGTGGGTTTGAAAAAAAGCTCGTACAATTTATTTTTAGTATATTTCGTGCTTATATTGTGACAAAATTACGTTTTGAGTGGGTGTCAACATAGTAAACACGAATAACATAGCAACATGTCATGGTTATTGGGTAGAAATCGTCAGCAACCGACGGACTTTAGTGGTGGAGCAGATGGACCTGACAAACCAGAGGGTCAAACTGCCGGCGAACGTGGTAATGACTCGCAACTTACGAAAGCAGAGCGCAAGGCCATGGAGGCTTATCGGTTCGATTCCTCGGCTCTGGAACGTGCGGCAGACGCAGCGAAAACACTCGAGCGTTCAAGTAAGCGTCTAGTAAACATACTTTCATTCAAAAATTTCATCATCGGTTGCACGCATTGCATAACCGATGGCAATGTTGATTGAAGCAGATGTGTGTATGTGCGTGGGTATTAACGATTATATGACATGTTTCAGGACATGCGCGGGAGGCACTGGAATTGTCCAAGATGCAGGAGAGCACGCGACAACAGGAGTATGCCACCAAGGTAAAGGAATATGAGGCCCATATTGAGCAGGCCAAAGTTGAGCAGAAACGCATTGACCACGAGGAGCGGCGCAAGACTCTCATTGAGGAGACCAAGCAGCAGCAGCAACGTGCACAATACCAAGATCAATTGTCGCGCAAGCGGTATGAAGATCAGTTGGTGCAACAACAGCGAGTGCAGGAGGAGAATCTTCGCAAACAGGAGGAGAGCGTGCAGCGTCAGGAAGCCATGCGGCGTCAGACGATTGAACATGAAATTGAGATGAAGGAAAAGAATCGTCTGAAGCTACTTGAGCATGAGCTGCGAGCCAAGGCTCGAGTGGATCGCGAGAATCGGGATATCAATCTTGAGAAGATTCGCCTAAAGGCACAAGAACATCGTACCACAGTGCTGGAGGGTATACGGTAAGTTCATAGTGGAAATATTATATATGTGACAAAAAATAATGTTAATTATTATTAGCACCGCTGGTTCAGTGATTGGTGCTGGTGCGGAGGCGATGTTGACCGACTGGGATAAGGTCTTGACGGCTGCTGGTGGATTGTCGCTGCTTGCACTGGGAGTGTACAGTGCGAAGGGTGCTACGGGCGTGGTATCGCGTTACATTGAAGCACGCATTGGAAAACCAACGCTTGTGGGTGAAACCTCGCGTTTTGCATTTCTGGATGCCATAAAGCATCCAGTGAAGTATATGAAACGGTTGCGATCGAAGCCCACGGATGCCCTGCAAGGCGTTGTGCTGAATCCGAAACTAGAAGAACGTTTGCGCGATATTGCGATCGCTACGAAAAACACGCGGATCAATCGCGGATTCTATCGCAACGTGCTGATGCACGGACCACCTGGAACTGGCAAAACAATGTTTGCCAAAAAACTAGCCGAACACTCTGGCATGGATTTCGCTATCATGACCGGTGGTGATGTGGCGCCTATGGGCAAAGAAGGTGTCACAGCCATACACAAGGTATTCGACTGGTCGAATACCTCAAGGCGGGGCCTTTTGCTGTTTGTTGACGAAGCGGATGCCTTTCTGCGCAAACGCTCGTCGGAGAAAATTTCTGAAGATTTGCGTGCTGCATTGAATGCTTTCTTGTATAGAACTTCCGAACAGAATCCAAAATTTATGCTTGTACTGGCTTCGAATACGCCAGAGCAGTTTGATTATGCAATCAACGACCGTCTGGACGAGATGGTGGAGTTTACCTTGCCTGGTCTTGAGGAGAGAGAACGCTTACTGCGGCTCTATTTTGACAAATATGTCCTACAGCCGGCAGCCGCTGGAGCGAAGTAAGTAAAGATTGTATATTAACGGCCAATTAGTTGCTAACCAACATTTTACAGACGCTTTAAACTTGATACCTTTGACTATGGCAAGACATGCGTTAAGATGGCACAGATGTGCGAGGGCATGTCGGGTCGTGAAATATCTAAATTGGGCGTTGCTTGGCAGGCTGCTGTATACGCCTCGGAGGATGGCACGCTGACAGAAAAAATGGTTCTCGATAGATGTCGAGATGCTGTACAGCAACACAAGCAAAAAGTGAGTTGGAACCGCTTCCTCAAAGTGGCCAAATAAATAACATATTGAATTTCTTGCAGATGGCCTGGTTGTCGGAGCAGGAGCGTGCCGACCATAAATCAATAAGTGGGGCTTCGGAAGCCTCTAAACCACCGCTAACACTAACTGCCGACAAACTGTGAGTTGGATAAGCTGGATCTGTCTGTTGACGAGCATTCAAAATTTGTTTAGTTTTAAAAGTGGACTAAGATGTAGTGTAAATCGCGAATAGCTTTTACTGGTCAACGGATCCTTCATTGTGTATATACATTGCGTATGTCTACACAAGCATTTATTACTGTACAACGAACATTGAGTCTTGCTGGGACTAGACATACAATTAAGTTTAACTTACTTATAATTGTATTGTAACAAAGCAATGCATATTAATTCCTACTTGTACAAAGTATAAGAGCTGTTGCATCTGCAAAGATAACGCTTTGTATATAGTTTAAAAATTAATGTCAATTGCTAAGCGCAGCACAGCAATGTTCAATTGGTAACGCAAGCACTGTGAGAGATTTATATTAAACTTCTCGCTAGCGTTACCATCAATTCTAATTTGGCCAGTAATTCCCACACATTGATTGATTTATAGATAAAATAAAATGATTGTTAAATTATTTAAGTGTTTCATTTTTAAAACAGAGGGATATATTAAACGCTATAGAGCTCTATACAAATAAAATAAGTTGGCAACAGAGGTAAATCTTGAATAAGTTGGGAATCACAACGAATTTTAAAGTTTATGGAAATAGCCAGTAAATTATATGTTCGATATCATATCCTGCGATAATAAAATCGATATTTTGCATGATTCGTGTCATGGTTATGTAACGCGGCAAATCGCATATTAGTCGTTACACTAATCATGCATGGTTAGTGGTGGTAAGCTATAGCAGTTAAATAATCGATGGCTCTACATATTGAATTGCGAATTATTTGGTTTCAAAAATCGTTGACAATTTATTGCATTATTACTATTCGTTATTTATTGCCATAACGTTTTTATTCAAATTTAGAAAATCAAATATTTTAAATATATCTACTTCTAATTGAAACGGAGAGGCTATGCGAATCGGCAACATACGCTCAATAGTTTCTAGCTATCTGTTTATTAGGTCCGAGAAATTGGAAAACACTTTTTCCGAGCGGCACATACCTATGCCATACTTTTTATACACCATGTACATTTCGCATTTCAATCAATTGCTACTTCAATATTTTAATCTTTTTAATAGACTTTAAACTGTCATAGGCAGGTGTAAAACGCGCGTAAACCGTGTATGGAGCTCAATTGCCTCGTGGTTACGTTTTTAATCCGTAATTTGTCGACCCCAGAAATAAAGCGAGAATTACAATTGATATAGAAACTACAGCTCATGTATTTGATAACTTTGGTTCCAATGGGTTAAATACATGAATCTGATTTTAATGCGTGGAACAGAGGGGAGCAGTTTGAATAAATTTTAAATTTCGAATAATATGATAAATAATATTGCTTATACATTTTACCACTAAAAATTTCCTTTATCTCTATAAACACATTTCCATGCTAAAGTGAAATTTTTGCGGCTTGAACAATAGTATTCATTGCTATTGAAAAGTTTGCTATACTCTGCATACGACACGATTTCTGCTAACACAAGCTTTCAGGCTGACACTTGTTTTCAGGAATCTTCAGGCTTTTCTTGGGAGGCAATTCTTTGACACTCTTTTCGTAATTTCATACCAGCTGCTTTACGATCGTCTCGGCTCTTTTTCTCCTGTTTTTTCTTAATTTCACTACATTTCTTCTGTTCAGACAACTTCTTACAAAGCTCCTTAAGTTTTTCAAAGTTTGACTGCTGTTCCATTTTTTTGCATTTTTCTTTCTCGGCCAGTTCCTTGCACTTTTCTTTAAATTCTTCCTCTTTGTTAGCTTGTTTATTATTGCTAGATTTTCCTTTTTTAGCTAATTTGGCGCACATTTCTTTTTCAGCCATTGCTTTGCATTGTGCCTTTAGCTTTCTTTCTTTTTCCTTTTTGGCGAGTTTGGCGCATTGTTCTCTTTCTGCCAATTCTTTGCATTTCTTTTCGAAGGCTTTCTTTTCTTTCTTAGCTAATTCTTTACACTTTTTCTCAAGGTTTTTGACACCCTTTCCTTTTTTGCCCTTGCCCTCCTTTTCTTTTTTTGCTAGTTTGGCGCATAGTTCATTTTCAGCCAATTTTTTAAATTTTTTATCTAGATTTTTGTCACCATTTCCCTTTTGACTCTTTTCCTTCCTTGCGTTCTTTGCCAATTTAGCGCATTGTTCTTCTAACGCCAATTCGTCACACTTTTTATCTAGATCTTTGTCACCTTTTCCTTTTTTACTCTCGCCCTCCTTTTCTTTCTTTGCCAATTTATCACATTGTTCTTCTAACGCCAATTCTTTACACTTTTTATCTAGGTCTTTGTCATCTTTTTCATTCTTACCCTCACCCTCCTTTTCTTTTTTTGCCAATTTAGCGCATTGTTCTTTTTCCGCCAATTGTTTACACTTTTTATCTAGATCCTTATCACCTTTTCCTTCTTTGGACTTGTCCCTCCCCTTTTCTTTCTCTGCCATTTTAGCGCACTGTTCTTTTTCCGCCAATTTTTTACACTGTTTATCTAGGTCTTTATCACCCTTTCCATCTTTGCTCTTATTCTTCTTTTCTTTCTCTGCTAATTTAGCGCATTGTTCTTTTTCCGCTAATTTTTTACACTGTTTATCTAGGTCTTTATCACCCTTTCCATCTTTGCTCTTATTCTTCTTTTCTTTCTCTGCTAATTTAGCGCATTGTTCTTTCTCCGCCAACTTTTTACACTGTTTATCTAGAGCCTTATCACCTTTTCCTTTTTCACTCTTGCCTTCCTGTTCTTTTTGTTTTTTTGACAACTTAGCGCACTGTTCTTCTTCGGCCAATTTCTTACACTTTTTATCCAGATCTTTGTCGCTATTACCTTCTTTGGACTTGTCCTTCCCCTTTTCTTTCTCTGCCAATTTAGCGCATCGTTCTTCTTCTGACAATTTCTTACACTTTTTATCTAGGTCTTTCTCACCCTTTCCATCTTTGCTCTTATTTTTCTTTTCTTTCTCTGCTAATTTAGCACATTGTTCTTCCTCCGCCAATTTTTTACAGCTTTCATCTAGATCTTTATCACCTTTTCCATCTTTGGACTTGTCCTCTCCCTCTCCTTTCTTTTCCGATTTAGCGCATTTCTCTTGTTCTGCCAATTTTGCGCATTTGGCTTCTTCTGCCAACTTAGCGCATTTCTCTGCTTCTGCCAATTCAGCACATTTTGCTTCTTCAGCCAGTTTAGCGCATTTCTCTTCTTCTGCCAATCTAGCGCATTGCTCCTCTTCAGCCAATTTAGCGCATAGTTCTTTTTCGGCCAACTTTTTACATTTCTCCTTTGCTTTCTTTGCCAATTTAGCCCATGCTTCCTTTTGGGCCAACGCCTTTTTCTGCTCTTCTTCTTTTTTCGCCAATTCAGCACATTGTTTCTCTTCGGCCAATGCTTTTTTCTTGGCTCTTTGTTTCTTTGCCAGTTGGGCACATCGCGCCTTTTTGTCCAGTTTTTGATCCGCGCCTTTGTCCTTATTTTCTGTTTCGCAATCGTCTTCCCCTTTATTTTTCTTTTCTTTCTTAGCTAATTTAGCGCACTGTTCTTTTTGTGCTAACTCTTTGCATTTCTGTTTTAGATTTTTTCCTTTATTTTTCTGTTTAGCTAACGCGGCGCATTTATCTTTTTCAGCCAACTCTTTGCATTTTTTTAGTTTCGCCTTTCTCTCTGCATCAGCTTTTTGTTGGGCTAATTTATTTCCCGAATCTTTCTTTTCCTGACCCTTATCTTTTTCCGCCGTGCCCGCGTTTTTGCCTTTCTTTTCTTCTCCCTTAGCTTTACCTTGCTTTTCTTCTGTCTTAGCTTTGCCTTTCTGTTCTTCTTTCCCTTTCTTTTCTTCTCCCTTACCTTTGTCCTTCTTTTCCTGGCCCTTCTCCTTTTTATTTGCGTTATCACACAGTTCTTTTTGGCCCTTTTCCATGCATTCTTTTTCAATATGGTCTACTTTACAAGGTGTGTCTTTCTTGCAATTAGCTTTCGCCATCTTAGCCAAATTTCGGCAATGTTCCTTGAGTTCTTCAAAGGTGGCCATTATCTTGTTTGGTTTCTTTTTGGTATCGGTCTTTGTTTTCTGATCTGTGCCTTTTTCTTTCTCGTTCTTTCCCTTCGCTTTCTGATCTGTGCCTTTTCCTTTCTCGTTCTTTTCCTTTTCTGCCTTGGCACCTTTCGTGTCTTGTTTCTTCTCATCTTTTCCTTTGTCGGATTTACTGCACTGATCTTTTTCGGATAGTTCTTTGCATTTATTTTCCAGCTCTTCATTTTCTTTCTGTTCTTTTTCTTTCTTAGCTAATTTAGCACACTCTTCTTCTTGGGCAAATTCCTGACATTTCTTGTCCATCTCTTTCTTTTTTTTCTCTCTTTCTTGCCTCTTTTTGTTTTCGCGCTCTAGCTTTTTCTGAAATGCTCTGCTTTTCTTTTGCTTCGCTTCTTTGATTTTCCTTGCTTTTTCCTCTTCGAGTAAAATCGCGCACTCCTCTCTCATGGCTTGCTCTTTGCACTTTTTTTCTTCTTCTTCTTTAGCTAATTTTTCACACTCAGCCATTTCGTCGGTCTTCTTTCCCTCCCCTTCTTTGCCTTCTCCCTTTCCCTTTGCATTTCCTTTTTCTTTTTGCTGAGTTTCACCTTTGACTTGCTTTTTGTCTCCTTTTTCTTTTTTCGATTTATCTGATTTTTCGCCCTTATCCTTATTTGTTTCATCTTTTGCATTATTTGCCTTACGCGACATCTCTCTACACTGCTGTTTGAAATTTTCTGGATCTGTAGTACCAATCGCCCCCATGGGCTTCACCTTTGCCATGTATGCCAAATTTCTGCACTGATGCTTCAGCTCTTCAAGCCTTTTCAATACTTCATGTTGCTTTACGAACTGCTGCTTTTCGAGCCTAAATTGATGAAGGTGGTCAAATATGTCATCCATATTCCTGTCGATCTGATTTTTCGATTGCGTTTGCTGTTTGCCCGATTGACCAGACTCTTTATACTGGGCCAGTTCCTTAACCTTCTGTTCAAGCTGCTCCTCTCCATTAGCAACTGCGTTTTTCCATTGTAATGACTTCGTTTTTGCCAAAGCTTTACATTGCCTTTTCAAAATGTGTTGTTGCTTTTTCTGCTTATCTTGCTTGATAATTGTATTTCCCGAATGTGATGAATTTTTAATACGCTCCGGCATTTTATCGCTCTCATGCTGCTGATTCAGCTCTTTGCATATCTCGACAATGGCTCTTGCCTCACTATTCAAATCTTCCAGCTCGACCAAATTGGCATTCGGGTGCTGTTGAACCAAGCTTTCACACTGAACTCTCAGGTTTTCCAGTTCGTTCAGCATTTCCTTGCTCTGCCGAACAACCAATTCCCTTCGCCTTTGTGAAATTGATGCAACATCCCGCCGCCTAAAATCATCATTATAGAAGCGTTGACAAGACACCCTGTATTTGCGTGTGGCGGGCTTGCCTTGAATCGGTAGCTTGCCTTTCGGGGCAGCCTTACTGTCGTTATGCCTTCGACCAGTGGCCTTAACATTCGAGCTATGATTATCTGTGGGCGTTGTGTAGGTGCGTGAAATGAAAGCCTCATTTAATCCAATTGATATAACTTACGACCAATAGAGTCATCAGTTTGGTCAGTGGCGACTGTACGCGTAGTAATTTGACAGTTGTCCAGCCTTTGCATGAGTCCATTGCAAAACAAAGAATTGCTGAACGTGATCACGGGCTGCATGCAAGAGTTGCACGACCTCGCTAATGCCTGCGGATTGCAGCTTACAACTGTTCGCGTAAACATCTTTGGCCAGGGCTGTAAAATGAAATTAGACTTTTTACTAGAAATTTTGAGGTCTGGCCCAGACTAAATTCAAGCAAACAATGATAATCTATCCGAGCTAAACAACTTTGTCACAATCATGACAACAGTTACCTGGCCTGCCTAAGTAGCCTATCATTTGTATGTGACATATTTACACACACACATACATAAATATATAAAGAAAAGTGAAAAACAATTTATGGTTTCACTAAAGATCCAACATGTTATAGGCTGCTTAAATAGCTCAAATATATAGTAGACCAAAGCTAATGTCGAAAGCGCATTCCAATCTCTCAGTTCATGCTCACTTTTATTTTTATAGAGCTAGGCATTAACATACAGTTCATAACTTGTGACCGACTAGTTATTAAAAGATCATTGCCTTCAAACCCTAGGCTTATGAAGGCAATTTTCAAATTGATATTCGTTATCGAGAAATATTATTTTTTATTAAATTACTTGAGTCAATTAAAAATTTCATTGCTATTTTACTAGGACGTATTCCAATGCAAATGAGACTGATTCTTCTATCATATTAAGATTTTTCTTAAAATAATGCTATGAAATACGTAATAAATATGCTAAGCATTATTTATATGTTTCATCGACATCAACTGTTTACGACTACTTTTCGATTCGAAAATTTAGAAACTAAAAATGATCTTTGTTTAATTAGACGAGCTTTATATCGGAACTGGAGAATAGTGTACATGGCTTAGCGACTCAAACAAATTATCAACACCAGCTGGCGTTGGGTTCTTGTGGGCTGTGTACTCTCAGTCTTTTATAGGCTTGATGGGGATTGGTTTGGTTTTGTTGGATTTGGTTTTGTTTTGATGCTCTTGGATTTCGCCTCTTTAGCCTTCTTTGCTGACTGCAAGTTCTGCAATTTCTTAGCCTTGATTAGCTCTTCATTAATTTTAGTAGTAAAGCTGGACGTATTTTGTAATGCCTCGGATGTTGTTGCTGTGCTCTTGCCGCTCGATGCACTCTGAAGGGTCTTTGATTTGGATAGCCCTTTCTTGTTTTTGTTGGAGATATTAGAAAAATCCTTTGTGTCCAATTCAGTTTTGGTTGCTGTACTTGGCTTTGTCTCAAACTGGCTTTGAGTTGGTTTATTTCTCAGAGAGTCTCTTTCAACTACTTTCAATTTAGGCTCTTCGCTTTCGGATTTGATTGAAACGCCTTTGTTGCTTGTCGTGCCTGGGAGTAGGATTGTTTTAGATAATTGCTTGGAATTATCATTTGTAGTCGATTTAGAATTGATTTCTGTGCTAGAATTTGTCTCAAACTGGGTTTGAGTAGGACTTTTTATTTTTTCAATTGATTCAGCTCCTTTCTCAGATGCACTCTTGTTCTGACTGGGTCTTGGTTTCGGTAACCCTCCCTTAATTTCTATAGATCTTTGTAAATTATCATTTGTGCTTGAATCAGCTTTGATTGTAGTACTCGAATTCTTCCTAGCTTTTAGAGAAGTGGATTGCTTCAATTTACTTTGCATGGCCCTACTTCTAGCTTTAGAAATGTATTCAAGAAATCTGCTCTTCATAAATGATTTCATGTTATCCGATTGCTTTGGGGCTTGTTGATTTTTGTCTTTTATGTTGGTCATGAATCGCTCAAATCCATTTTTGCTTGTGCTGGTTCTGTTCCTATCGGTTTCACGATTCACATTTTTTTCAGATTTCCCTTGGCTTCCCAGCTTCATCCCGTCATTGCTTTTGTTATCACTGCTCGAGAGATTGATTGATGTTTTATCTGCTTCAGGTTTGCTTTTGTTCTGCTCCTTAAGGATTTTACTTTCATTTGAAATCATCTGTTCTGCTTTGAACGCAATTATACTTCTTGCAAGCTCTGCTTTAGTTTCAGCATGAGACTTTTCATCACCTAAGCTTTCATCACTTATTCTTTGCTCGACAGGCTTGTTTTTGACTTTATCATTATCTTCTTTTGATAGTTTTAAGCTTTTGTTTTCCAATTTTGTCTGAGTTTCTTCTATTTTAAGTTTTTTTGACATTCTTTCATTCGTCAGCAGTTGACGTTTAGACCCTTTTCTTTTCCGTAAGGGTGATTCGACAAAGCTTTTCGTCCTCTTTTTAAATGCCTCTACATTCGAGTTCAACTTGCTGTCCTTATTGTGAGATTGACTTACAGTCGGTGAGTTGGATTCCAATGAACCCTTAGAGGTTGGGCTCACTTTGACTGGAAACTCAGAACCATACAGATTTCTGCTGTTCTCAGTTATATCAATAGTGGTCGGGGGATTCACATTTTCCTCTTTAGATAAAATGACGGAGTCTGTCTTTTGCTTTTCCTTAGCAGCTTCGGTTTTCAGTTCAGCATTCTTCTTCATTTGTTGTAGCAATAGTTTTTTGAATTCAGAATCGGGACCAGTTTTATCTTCATGTAAATAACGAATCGTAGAAAACAATGAACGGCAAGAAACCAGCCTAACGAATGAGTTGGTGCAAAGAGATTGGGACAACCGGCAGTACAGCATATTGGACATTCTAACTCCTTTGTCTCCAAGTGTAAAGTGCCGACACAAAGCACTCTAAGAACAAAGTTAAATTTTGCACCAAACTAAAATATTTATTCTTTCTGACTGTACGTATTACATATTTTCAGAACCCATACTTTCTAAACCCAGAGCTTACTACAATCTAAAATTTTACAGGATTGTTGGCATTCCTAGGTTGAACATGTATCATAACTTTGAYGGCACCGCCCGTGCCACTACGAGCTGTTTCGAATGCCTTTTGTGTCTCCTTAATATCAAAGTGGTGGGTGACAAGTCGCTTTACATTCACTCTTCCAGAGGCCACCAGGGCCAAAGCAGCGGCATAGCTACAATGACAAAGAACTTGTTAGCCTGTATATTTAGATAGACTTAGGTTTCCACTCACTCATTGCAGTAACGGAAGACACCGCGAATGTCTACCTCTCGAGCCAAGGCATTGAACAGGGGCAGCTTCATTTCAGGCGGTCCCATGCC